ATCTCTATATATGGGTCTTACATGTGAACTAGCCTTGTGGCCCTTGAACTTGTGCTCGGAATGTGTGGTGACTTTGTGATCCACCCTGAGCTTTGCTTTGTTTTTGTTTGACTGGTCTTGTGACCCCTTGTTCTCCCCCACTTTGCCTATGGGGGTGTGTTCAGAATGTTATAGCTTACTTATTTGTGTAGGCTATAGTGGGGTATCCCATAGGGGGTACAACCCAACTAGAGTTTCCTATTTGTACCCACTTCATTCATAGTCATTCCATTCTCGCTCTAACTTTCTCAGTCGTCCTGTCCCGGAGTTGACCAAGTCAAAACGCTCCGCGGGCCAATACGATTTCGCTGTAGCTGCTGCAATTCGCTGCTGGCAACCTGGCGCCGAATGTCAGTTTTCAGCCCCGCGATGTAGGACTGAAATTTTTCGCCCTCGGTAATGTCGGGAATGCGATTATAGAAATTCCTCCATCTGCTGCGTGTATTGCGCGACACTCCTGAATTGCCTATGGTGATGTAATTTTTCCGCGCGCAATATAAGTGGAATTAATCGGCTCAAAACGTTTGAGAAGGTCTGCCCGGAACTGCTGCCACGTGGCTTCACCCTGGAACATGCTACTGTTGCTTCCGAGCCACTCAAGAGCTGGACCGCGCATCAATGTTGTCGCGAGAACGAATTTTCTCGCCGTCAGTACTCCGTTGTCGTCCATCGATCGCCGCGAAATAAAATTTCCATCGTCGCGAGCCACCGCTTGACGTCGGATTTTCGATCGCTAGGGTCGAACGATTCCGGCGAGCGAAGTTTCGGAACCTCGAACTGACGCTAGCGACTGCTGCAAAGTCGTCGAAGCAGGAATGTTCATGGTCGAGAGGAGCCGCGTAACGCGCTGCAGTTCGTTTCGCATCTGCTCGTTCTCCAATCGCGACCGTTCAGTCGTCGCTCGCATCTCCGCTTCCATCTTGGCGATTTGCGCAAAGAGCTGCTGCGTAACGTCGTTGGTCGCCGGTGAACCCATCCTGTTCAAAAAACCACGCGAGGGGGTTAATTCGAAAAGCGCGAACTGGTGCTTACCAGAAATTGGCGTCGAATTGGTCGCCCCCGGCGGTTGTTCGAGGCGATTTTTTCCGCGACCGCTGCTTAGGGCCGAGAGTTGTCGAGTGAGAACGGCTCTGATTACCAAGTGTCACAGGATCGAATTCTCATCGAAACTTGTCACTAAAACTGAATAACAAGGCCTATTTATACTCAGAAAGTACAAGGATAAACGAGATAAAACGAACCTTCGGGAACACACCCTTCCCGATACTACAATCACAAAGTGCGCATAAGCACGCAAGTCGTATTGGCACTTGGGATTACGGCCAGAATTACACCGTATACAACCACTGTCGGCGCTGTTCGGTGCCCGTATAATAGGTATGTCCGGTGGGAAAAGTAGGAAATAAGAGAAATGAATAGAAAGGCTCTAGAGAATAGAATAGTAGGCCCGATTGAGATGAGATAAAAGACCAAAATAAAGAGGAGAAAAAGGGAGAATGGGATAACGGAAAAATATAATAGTGAGAAAATATTATAACGGGGACGTCCTCTCACAGAGTGAAAGTGGTCCCTGACTACGCGCAGAGAGTCAGGGAGCCGGGTCACTATGTAGTAGAGAGTGATGTACCTAGGGTGGGGGGGGGTTCATTGGCGCAGACTTCAGCATGAAGCGCAGCGCGGGTAGCGAGTGTCACTAGTGCGGAGGTGCGTAATGAGGTCAGGCGACTGTGGGAAGGCAGCAAGGTCAGGGGAAGAGGAGGCCGTAGCATGAGGCGGCTAAGGTGCAGCAGTGGCAGGGGGAGGAGTAGCGTGCCAACTACAGCGTCGTACAAGGTCTGAGCACTCTTGTACTGGCTAAAGTGCGCACGCTCGAGAGGTAGGCAGGTGGCGACGCACAGGCAAGACATGCAGCAGCATCGCGCGTGGCCCACTGTGAGCGAACAATGGCGTCAGCATCAGCAGCGGGGGCAGGAGAGCACCAGAAGTGAGGGTCAAAGAGGGAGAGGCCGTCTGCCCTATCGCACCGTAAGAAAAGCTGCAGTCGTCGTCTACCCAGACGTCTAAGTCAAGTGGCCCTACCCTCAGCGTCAAAAGCGAGGACACTAGGGGGTAGCCATGACAGTAGACTAGCAGCACGAACAGTAGCGTAAGGGCAGTGCAGGGGTAGAGGGCGCTGCTCTTACCGGACGGGCGGCTCGGGTGACTCGGCGGTGCGGGCGGGCTCGGCTGCTGGGCGGCTCGACAGCTCGGCGGCTTGGGCTGCTCGGGTGCTTGGCGGCTCGGCGGCTCTGCTTCTGGGCGGCTCGGCGGCTCTCCTGCTCGGCGGCTGGGCGGCTCGGCTGCTGGGGCGGCTCGGCTGCTCGGTGTTGCAAGGCGCACGGCGGCCCGCGGTTCGAGGGTGGGGTTCCGCTGGGAGTGCTCGGCGGCGCGGCTCCTGATCAGGGACGGCGGGTGGGGCCGTTAGGAGGCCGTAGAAGGTGGCTTGAGGGGGGGCCAGGTGGAGCGGCAGCGAGGCTGGGAAGGCGGCGTCGGAGCCGGAAGGGCAGCGAGGGCAGCGCCGAGGCCGTAGGAGCAGGCGCCGGGGCCCAGCCGAGGTGGCGTCGGGGCCGGAAAGGGCGCGTGGATGCCGCTAGGGCGGCTCACAGTGGGCCGACGGGCGGCTCGAAGGGCCGCAAGGGCGGCACGCGGGGCCAACGAGCGGCGCAAGAGGCCGCTAGGGCGGCGTGCGGGGTCGGTGGGGCCGTTGTAAGAGGCGGCGTCGGGCGTAAGGGGAGGCAGCGATGCCGTTGAAGGAGGCGGCGACGAGCCGCTGAGGGCGGTACGACGGGGCCGCGAAGGAGGCAGCGCGACGGGGCCGCAGAAGGGCGGCGCGACGGGCCAGAAGGGCGGCGCGACGGCCGTAAGGGCGGCGCGACGGGCCGTAAGGGCGGCGCAACGGGCCGTGAGAGGGCCGCTAAGGGCGACGCGACGGGGCCGTGAGGGGCCTAGCGAGGGCGCGACGGTAGGGAGAGCACACGGAGCGCGACTCGGGCTGAGCGGAAGCGCGCTCCGGTCAGGAAAAAAAAAAAATTCGTAGTGGGTGGGCCTAGGAATCGTTCCCGTTAGGGAACCTGCTCGATACCATAAGAAGAAACGAGGAATGATTGGACTATGAAACAGTTGGTACAAGTACTAACCCTAATTGGTTGTACCCCTTATGGGCTACCCCACTACAGCCTACACAAATGTATAAGCTATAATGTTACTGACAAGGCGTCGCCCGTTGCATGCACCTCCCGGAGTGGCGGGGCGGAAAGCCGCCGCGCGCCTCGGGCGCACGGCGGGCAGAAAACCGCCGCGCGCCTCAGTGCGCTCGGCGGGCAGAAAAAAACCGCCGCACGCGTCCGAGCGCGTGGCGGGAAGAAAAATCCGTCGCACGCCACGGGCGTGCGCCACACAGAGTAGCAGTTGCAGCGGAAGCAGTGAGGTGGTGAGCCCACCCAGAGGATCGACCCAAGGGGATCGACCTGCTCTGATAGCATGTCAAGTTTAGGAGGTAGGAGAAAGTTTAGAATGAAGAAGGGCGTTCACTAGCAAGCAATTGTGTACATATAGGAAACCCTAAGTCGGGCTGTACTCACTATTGAGTACCCCACTGCAGGCTAGACAAACATAACATTCTGACATGTATGACAGGTGGCGCGAAAAGGTTTATCCTTTCGGATGACGCTGAGTTGGCGTTCATCTGTGGGTTTGGGGGGGGGGGGGCGGGGGTGGGGTGGGGGGATTGACTATCGAAGTTGGCGAGAAACCGGAAACAATTACATGTTTTCCTGGTGTGCAGGCTATGAGGTGATTCAATAAAATCCCGTAGACATTGGGCATGTTCGTACACTTCAAATGATGCATTCATGTCGGATAGAAACTAAATAAGGAAAGCAATTACGAATCCTACATTGTTCTTGAAATGTATCAAAAACATCAACAAAAACTCTAGCTTCATCATATCCATACCCTAAATCTCATAAATATATCGTGAGTGGAAAACGAAAATTAACCTACCCGAAATACTGACGTCAAGATTCGAAGACCTTTCGGTCTATTGAAATTCCAATCCACTAGGTCATTTCAAGGTAACAAGCGGTTTCAAGACACATTTCTTGATTTGGCCGGATATTTTTGGGATGGGATATTTTCGGGACACTGTGTTTACTGTTCCAAATGTCTCTTTTGGCTCGAAGACAGATCTCGGTCATCTTCGGGACGCCTCAAGATCTCTTGCGGAAAGCCAATTCAGGGGGAAATTTTGGGATGTCAACATTTTGGTGATGTAGAGAAGGGTGCGTCTTGACGGTGACGGAGCCGGCGACGGCGCTACGTGCGTCCCCTCCCGGCGTGACTCTCCGGTGGCGTTGGTAGCTGCTGCTGTAGCAAGCTTGGGACGTCGTGACGCACGCGAGATGGTTCTTTACGATGGCTTGACTGATGGTGGCAGTAGCGACAACGGCAGCAGCAGCAGGAGTGGCAGCAGCAGGAACGGCAACAGCATCAGCAGCAGCTGCGATTTCGTTTCACGGGGTACACCCAATGCTCGTTAGAGTCCCCCAAGGTTGCCTGTGCTTTGGGCTTGTAAGTGGTTAGGGCATTTCGTGGGGTTCGTAGCATTTCGCATGGGCCAACATGGGCTTAAAATAACACCGAATGTTACAGGTTTGTTTTACCCGAAACAGTGCTGGATTGCCGCAGTTGTTTCATAACTGTTATTGTTGTTACCTGACTTTCCTTCAAACCATATTGGCCCATTACAATATTCAACAAATTCCCTCACAGACATCCCCAGTCGTCTCCGGGTTAATCTCAGCAAGCCACTTATCCAACATGAAACAGCACCAACAAGCACTAACATTATACCAATGTCAGCGACATGTTGACATTGGTGCACTTGGTGAGACACCAACTCCCAAGAGAGGAGTTGGGCGCATTCACAGACGCACCCACTCCGCCGCGTCCATGAAGCCGTCCATGGCGGCAGGCACGCCAGCATCGATGAGAGCCTGGCAAGGAGAGGGCGCCGTCATCCACGCAGGGAGGACGCGCCCGCGGGGAGGAGCGCGCACGGCATCCGGGGTCTCGGACGGCCTGGGGGTGGCGACCGGGTCGCGTTGAGATTCAGGGGCGGGCTCGCCCTCTCCATGCGCTCGATGATGATCTGGTTGCGGATCTCGAAGAGGGCGCAAAGCTCGCGGGGGGTGATGCTGGTGGCGCGCGCGGTACCCTTAGCATCTCACATGCGGCGCGCGCATAGCGACGAGCCTCGCGGGACGCGGGGTTGTCGTTGTTGTAGACAGCCTCCATGCTCGTAGGCGTTTCCCACGACGCAGCCGAATACGCCGACGCGGGCTCGTCGGCCAAAGGGTCCTCGCCCGGCTCCGCGCACGTCGGCTGCCCGTTGTCGATTGCGACAAAGTCGGCGGCCGGCATCGCGCTTGGGCCAGGCCAAGACGATCGATGAGAATGCCCACGTCATCGATCTCGCCATCGAGATCGATGGCAAGCGGCACAACACCACGGCCACCTGGGGTGAGGCCCGCGGCGCCCACGTGGGACAGAGAGAGGGCCCACGCGAGAGGGAGCACTCCGTCCGCCACCAGCACCTCTGAATGGTGCGCGTGCTGATGTTCATCCACGCGTCCAGCAGCCACGCCAGGACGTCGCGGAGATTCAGATTGTAGCGCGCGAAATTACCCGTGGCGCCGCCATCACCCATTTCGCAACGACGGCCTCGAGCCAATGCTGCCTGTAGCGGGCCTTCATCATGGCGATGAGGCCCTTGGTCCAGCGGCTGAACGAAGCAGGTGGTGTTCGGTGGAAGGAACACAGCCTGAGGTTGCTCAGCGTCCGAGTGCGGAAGCCAAACAAGTCCCTCGGTCTCGGCTCCCTCGGTCTTGAGCTCATGGCTCGAGGCGTTGTCGAGGAGGATGACGATGTGCCGTTCCTCGGCGAACATTGCCGCGTTCAGTTTGCTCCATGAAGTGCGTGAAGAGCTGCGGAGAATATATGGGAACGGGGCGGGGGAGAGACGTATATATGAGACAACGCGCTCTCACAAACACATGCAAGCGTAGCATCTCCAAAAAAAACCGAAGTCACCTGGCGCACGAAGCACTTACAGAGGCGGTCATCCAGCCCTTCGCGTTGTTCCTCCAGTAGCATAGTGCGTCGGGGTCGAAATCAGGGCGGAAATCATGGGGCCTCTTCGACTTCGAGATGACGAGCGGGCGGAATGCATGGCTCCCGTCCGCGTTCACGAGAAGGCCGACGGTGAGTCTCTCCTTAGGAATCTTGCGACCAGCCACACGGAACGCCCGTATGTCTTCCGCGGCAACACCGAGAGGAACAACGCGGTCTCGTCGAAGTTGTAGACGTCGCGCGGGGGAGACGCAGAGGTGCATGAGAAGTTGCGGGAGCTTCTCCTTGCAAGTGCGCACGGCCGCCATGTCCTGATCCGCGGCTTCGCCAGCAGCACTCTGGCACCTGATGCCATTGCGGCGCAATGCGCGGCACACCCATCCCACGGAAACAGCGAATGAGGCGGCTTTTCCCAAGTCATGTGCGATGACCGCGACGTGGTCGTGGATTGTCTACAGCGTGAGCGGATTCCCGCCGGGCCGGCGTTCGAGATCCAGCGCACCATGCGCGCTCAAGGTCGGTTGAGCTCCGCCCCGAACACGGACGGGGTTGTTCGATGCTGACGGCGCGCTCCAACGATCACCGCCCTTCAAAATCCGACCGATAGTAGAGCGGTCGGGGCGGATTCCGTATCGAGTAATACACCAGCGCGCCAGGTCAACCTGGCGCATAAGAGGATTCTGCACATGATGCGCGCAGACTGCCTTCTTAATGTACACGGGAAGCTGGGAGCGACGGTACAGGCGAGGCATGTTAGAGAGGTAAGTGAGACGACAATTGAATGTCGAGTGTAAATGCGCGGCATTTTATCCTCCTTTGGTGCTCCTCGCTGTTCGCAATTCCGAGGATGTTTGAAGTTGAGTTTTGCCTTGTGCACCTTCAGCGAATGAGCACTAGGATGTGGTGTAACATTCATAGGTAACCACTCGCCACACGATGTGACGTGTGTTTATTGGGCACGAGGGTCGTTTCCGAGTCAGTAACCCACATTCGGGAGTGAATGGGCCCTTTGAATGGGTCTCTATCATGCACTTGAGACCGTTTCAATGCATCGTTGACGTGGGTCATCGCTGTATGGGCAACCTCCACGTGGCGATTTTGCTTGACTCTTGTGTGTTTGGCGCACATTGAAACATGATGACGTGGCATACGGTAAGCAGTGAAGCCGTGCGCGATGTCAAAACCCATTTAGTCCACTGTTTTTGAGAAAACTAGAACGAGAATGAATGAACTATGAATGAAGTGAGTACAAATGGGAAACCTAATTGGGATACCCCACTATAGCCTACACAATAGTATAAGCTATAAAGTTCTGACACACCCCCTAGGCAAAGTGGGGGAGAACAAGGGGTCACAAGACCAGTCAAGCAAAGCAAGCAAAGCTCAGGGTGGATCACAAAGTCACCACACATTCTGAGCACAAGTTCAAGGCCACAAGGCCAGTTTCACATGCAGGAGCATATATATATATAAGAAGCTAAGTAAGCAGAGCAAGAGTATATATAAGACAGTACAAGCAAGGTCAAGAAGTGAGCAAGTGAGGCAAGACAGGAACAAGTCCAAGCTGAGTACAGAAGCGCTGCTGATCACAAGGCACAAGTGCCTTGGTGAAAACATCAGCAGTGTTGGCCTCAGAGGCCACGTACGCAAGCCGCAACTGACCACGCTGCTGTAGCTCACAGAGCAAGGAAGTAGCGAGAGCAATGTGCTTCGTTCTGTGCTCCAGTCTCTGCTCTCACACAGGCCAGCATGGCCTTGTTGTCTACGTACAGAACTGGAGGAGAACGAGGCGGCTCTCCAAGGTCGATCAGCAGGAAGGTGAGCTAGCGAAGCTCCTGTGCAGCCATGGCCCCAGCGTAGATCTCCGCCTCACAACTGGAGCCGAGAACAGAAGACGAGCGAGTAGCCCGCCAAGAGACAGAGCCAGAACCAAGGCTGAAGGTGTAACCCTGTGACGACCGCTGTGTAGCCTGGTCGTCAGCCCAGGAAGCGTCTGCGTGCCCAGTGAGGACCACTGGACTGCGCCCTCCAAGCACTAGCCCCATGCCCGACGTGCTACACAAGTAGCGCAACACCCTCTTCACTACAGCCATGTGCTCTGGTCAGTGTCTCCCAGGAGCAACATAGCGTGCGAGAATGCTAAGAGGTATGCAAGGTCAGGTCGTGTGCAGGTCTCAGTAGCCATCTCTGCATCCATGAGCTGCCTGCCACTGAGAAGAGTAGGGACCCTCTATCGCCCTCCGCGTAAGAGCGCGGAGTCGGGACGTCAAGTGCATCCGGTCTCCCTCAGGGTAAGCAGTTACGGATACGAGATGAGGTGAAGCAGCTGCCAGACACTGAACTCCTCCTGCCTGTCCTCAAGGACGTCCGTGCCACGGGCACACTCACCCCCGACGGACCGGAGGACAGACAGACTCAGACTCGGCGACAAGACTAGCAGCGTAGTCTAGGCGACAGCGAGCAGGCAAAGTCGACGACGAGCTCAGCAACGAGGGCAAACACAGCAGTGGACTCAAAAGAAGGGTCAGTGACGACAGTAGCAAGGAGACGCGTGATAGTAGGACTGACATCCAAGACAAAGAGAGTCCGACTCTTGGTCGGCAAGAGTAGGAAGAGAGGACGCAGGAGGAGAAGCAAAGGGGCACGCAGAGGAGCAGTGGACGGACGCAGAGACATCTGGTGCGTGCCAGGGACAGGAGGAGGACGCTGACAGCGAACCGCGACCACTAGTGCGAGCAGCACGACAGGCGACGCAGGACAGACGCAGTGCTCACGACGCTCAGCAAGACCTCGAGTAGGACCAGTGTAAGGAGAGGGAGCAGTAGTGGGAGGGAGGCTGTAACTGTAGCTGTGACGGGACGGCTGTGGACACTCTAAAGAAGAAGGAGGACCTGTAGAAGGTGAAGACCAAGAACCTGCTGGAGGAGTGGAACGAAGTTACGGTCGAGGCCGCGCAGCAACGCCAGACACAGCAGGGAACAGCACCAGTACCCCCCACAAGGAGCACCAGCTCCAGCAGCACCTCAACAGCTCCAGAACCTCCAGCAGCACCAGTAGCACCCCCAGAAGGA